CTGGATTTGGATTCATTTCTGGCAAAGCACCTTAATGATGTCACGTTTAGGTGCCCTCCGGTCAATGCTGTTAGACTTTTGTAAGTGCTTAATGGCATCACAATGAACATATCATTGGAATTTGATATTCAGATTGTACATCTCAATGGTCTAGGCAACCATGGCAGGCAAAGATCTCTAAGGTCCTTAAGTTTACACTAAGAAGGTGGCTTCATAAGCCCATGTTAATCCATCTCAGTCTGTTTTCATTTTTTAACCACTCCATCTCAGCTGGGTCAGCAGAGAACCTTTCATAGGTGGCAGGGGATGGGATCGAAATGGGACATACTTTCAGCTTATTAAACGGCACAAAGGAAGATCTTTCCTTGGTAAATCTCATCCATCAATTTCAGTTCACCCTGAGAAAAGATCAAGAAATGCACTGTATTGGGTGTTCATCTGAAGGTCTGGGTGATGCTTCCCTATTTATTATAAAACCTACTGCTCAAAATATATATGTTTGAGAAGAAGCCATGACACTGGGACATGGAAACTGGTAAGAGGGCATGCTTAATAGCTTTGGCCTTAACTTCCACCCCTTCCCTATTCTCAAAATGATTGTATTACGATGAGAGGGAATACCCAAGCACATAGATTTTCTAGTTCCACAGGAATAATCACCTATCAAATACTAAGGGCATATCTTAGAGGTCTTAGGTAGAAAAAGACAGCTAGGAAAGAGAGTCTGAGTTATCTTGACCAAGTCGGTATCCAGAGCCTGGAAATTTATTTTTCAAAGTAACCAGTTAACACAGTCATTCAAAGGCTGTCCAAAAGTAATTTGCTACCATCATAGCTATGTTTTTTATAAAGAAACGTGCCTTCCTGATTCTCAAAAGTAACAAAAATAATTGGGCCTAAATCTGATTGAAAGCTTTGTTTAGAGGAAACGTATTGAATTGGTTGCTGAATGGAGTCAACTTAAATCTCATCTATTCAATGGGTCCACACGGGTAGTCCAGTTGGCTATCCTGTAGGAGTACCAACTGGTTTAAGACCCTTCCATGTTGTTAAGGTTTGTGTGTGTGTGTGTGTGTGTGTGTGTGTGTGTGTGTGTGTGTGTGTGTGTGAAGAGAAGCCTTCTGAATGCTGTACCTCTGTGGATTTGGTCAAAACAAGCTTGCCCCTTGTTCATCTTATCGCTGGCAGAACAACCACAAAAGAGCACAAGATAGCAGTGTGAGACATTAACATGAGGCTAATGTTGATAAACAGTCCTGATAATTGCTTTGTGTGGGTGAGAAGTGGTCAACTGATAATAATAAAAAAAGAAGTCTGCTTCTGGAATTTCCCCCTGCAAGGTGTCACTTTGTAAATGGTAATAAATCCAAGAGGGGATCCTTTGGAAGGAATTTCCCCCTGCAAGGTGTCACTTTGTGAATGATGTAATGCACTGAAGATGGGATCCTGTAGACCATCTTGACTACTGCCATGGGTGTTGTCAACATTCCAGCTGCCCTTTGATATGTGAAGCCTGGCATCCATTTTCCTGCTGGTAATGCGAGCACCACATTGTGCAGCAAAACTGGGCCATTTCCTGGCTTTTTGGGTACAGAAGAACAATGTCTCACATTCATAAACCAGAGGGATTATTTAAGAAGAACTGAATAAGGACAAAGAGTGTGTGCCATATGTAGAAGCCAGAACGAACTTGGCAAACAGGAGTAAGATTGAAGGTACAGGTTGTAAAGATGTGGAGTTCTCTCCACATAAGCATAAACTACGTTAAAACCTTGTATACCCTAATGAGATAAATAAGTCAGTTTATAGATTCATAATCAGGCTAGACTAATTCAAGAAGACTTCCAGGGTGAGGGTGGGATATTTTTAAAGTGAGATGCTACCATGTGATTGAAGACACATTTTGATGATTTTGCTCCTGAATCTATCTGATGCAAATCTTTAGGTCTTCAATTTTAAACTATGTGAAATACATTCTGCTTCTTCAGTGATGCAGGAAGCTTTGATATACAGAATGGAAACTCTGAAATCAAGGTGGTGGTTTTTTTCAATTTGTTTCTTTTCCCTAAGCAACGTAGTGCTGGAATTTGTTGACACAACCATTACAAACTGCTGATTCACAACTACAGATGCTATATCCCATTTGTTACATCCCTGTTCTACCTATCAGGCCAGACTATAATTATGCACATTGATTTGAGCAATTATAGACCCTGATTTTTATTAATCCTCTTTTTAACCTACTAGAAAATAGCAAGTGCTATATTGCTTATTTACTATATAATTACGTTTTTATAATGATTTATGTCAAGACTGGATTAGGGTGGTAGAATCTAATTAAACACACAAAACAGTTATAAAAGTGGTGTTGTTTTAAAAATTAAAACAAAACCCCTCTTAAAATGTGCCAGATGCGTAAATTTCTTTTATTAAAACATCTCCTACATGGAAAAGCAACTTTTGTAAGGAGATACACTCAAACCTGGTAGTTGTGTTTCAAAAGTGAGCATATGGCTAAATGGCAAAACACAGCCTTTACTTGAAGAAGGTCCCCGGTTCCACCAGAGTCTGGCAACCTTTTGACTTTTGCCTGTAGACTCGATGGCCACGCTGGTTGAGGAATTTTCAGAGTTACAGTCTGAAAAAAATGATTCCCCCCCCCCACAAGCTCTTATTTTGACATAGGAAGTGAATTTTTGTCAGGTTCCACAATTTCTTGCTCTTGCCCATTGTTATCTTCTGTAGCAGTTGTACACTGACCACTGATGGGGCTCCACAGTAGCCTAGGCTTTTCATAACTATGGCAGAGAAGATACTACTGTATTTTTCCATGTATATGGAAAATCTTTAGACTAAAAATTGAGGGTCGTCTTATACACGAAAGTAAGCTGAGGTGAGAACAAAAACAAGTGGAGGGGAAAACAGGGATCAAAGTGATCATGCAGGGTTTTGAGCCCTGCTTTCCCCTCCACTTGCTAACCCCCACTTAGATTTCTTAATTTTGGGTTAGAAAAGTGGGGGGCATCTTATACATGGGGCGTCTTATACAAGGAAAAATACGGTACCTTCCTTCAATCACCAGCTCATATTGCAAGTGTGATGTGATGTCTCCTGTTGACCCCACCTGCCGTGCATTGTAGTTTTGGACAGTCAGTGTTTCTGCAATCCACACACACACCCAATCTAACCCTGGCAAACTATTTACCGCAAATGACAACTTTAATGGTAGTATAAGTCCTCCTTAGGAGACAGTGGGTTTATCCCTTTTGTTTCAGTGGGAGTTTTGTTCTGTCAGGATGGAACTCAAGTTATTTGACATAATGGTTGGTGGCTTATATATAAAGTTTGGAAAAGCTCTACAGCGTCTTGGACAAAGGGCTTTCACATTCTACCTGATATTTTTATACTGTCAGTGGTGGAGATCAAACCTGGAACTTCTCACATGCCAAAGAGGTGCCCTCACATTAAGCTCTGTGTGCTCCCTAATCCCCAGTTAGATGAACTGAGTTAATAGGGCAGGACAAGAGTCCCACCTGAAGTGGCATTTCAATTTCGGAGAATCCACTCTTGGTTTTTGTCTAAATTTTAAAGGAGCTATCCAGAGTGCTGAACCAGTTATGAAGATAAAGGCCAGGGCATCTGTAAAGTCTGGGCTAAAAAATGGGACGGAGCCACTGCCCCATGAAACTGGAGCCATCCAGTCTCCTCTGTCATGGAGAACTATTTGAACCACTGCCAGAGGAGACAGTGCTGGGGGAAAAATCAACCAATTGTTTCATGCAGTAAAAGAAACTGCTTGGTTCATATGGGTCAGTCTGTTCATGTCCTTAATATATACCCCCATATATTTTAAGAGGAGCCAGTTATACTGGTTGAAATGATAATCTAATAGTCAAAATGCCTTTTAGGATAGATTAATTCTCACTTTACTTTCTGTAACCTGGTCTGCTTGCTGAAATACAAAATATATGTGTCAAGAGAGATGTAGGAGTCATGTTTGAGCTGAGAAATAGCAGGGGCAAACTGAGTGGGCAGAGCTGAAATGGATCTGATGGTCCAGGAATGGTTCAGAAGATAAATCAGGATGGAAAGTCATCCCTCGCTCTTTGAGTGTCTGGAAAGGGCACTTGTCTTCCCTGGAATCCTGTGTTTATTTTCCTGTACACAACAAGACATCGTGTACTATTGTGGCATACATCATTCACCAGCATTATTGTAACAGAGTTGAAATAATGTGGCTTTTGTTTTAATGCGAACAAACTTAATTCACACTTCTTGAACAAATGCACAATTTGGGATGTTATTGTTTTTTTCCTTTTCTCACTTCTCTAAAGTTTGCAGTGCAGTTTTCTGATTCAAGAGATGGAGAAATGGGTACACAGCAGGGGAAATGGCCAGCATAAAAGCAGACATTCATTAGGGCCCCCATATCCACGGTTTCAGTTATCTGCTGTTTGCTGCAGCCCTATATACAGTGCAGAAGGGGCAGGCCTTCTCACCTTTGTCCCACTCTGTGGTGGCCTTTCCCCCTCATCCTTGTATGCTGTATATGAGGTTTGCTAATATCTGCAGTTTCAGGAATTCACGGTAGGTTATGGAACAGATCTCCCATGGATATTGGATCCTAATGTACTTTTGTCTACAGAAATGAGTATATTTGAGGAAACTGCACACAGAAAGCAACGTATTAAGGGAAAGTCCTTACACAGAAGATGGAAAGTGTATTAAAAAACCAAATCTATGCAATTTTTTTTATTTTAAAAAACAAGTAATTCCAAACTTTTGCAGAAATTAGAAGAAACAAAATTAATGTTTGGAGGGGGATATATGTGAGTTTTGTAGAAAGCAATACAGATAAATTTATTTCTCTCTACTTGGAAATCTTCCCATTTGGGAGCAGCCTCAATGCTGTTTTGCGCATGACACTGAGAGCCTTTCACTTAGACATGAGTAAAAGTGACGGAAGAGTAACAGGTTGTCTCTTTTTAAAACAATTTCAGCCACTATGAACAAGACCGGAATGCGCTTAAGAGAAAGGAATGGGAACGGAGAAATCAAGAAGTCCAGCAGGATGAAGATCTTTTTGCGTCTGGCTTTAATCTCTTTGGAGAACCCTACAAGGTAAATAAGTATTAAAAGCTATGTTTGGCATGCATCTAATTTGCAATCCTTATTCTGATACTCCCTGCTGCCTAAATGTTAATCAGATGCCAGTCTCTTGGCTGGGACAACAGCACTAAAAGACATCTCCTTGGTTTCACATGTGAGAAAATAAGTTTCCGCATAAGTGCATTGATTAATTATCTGTGGCAACTGGGAGTTTTCTGGACCATCCTTGTGTTCTTCTGCATTACATCCGTGGAGCCCTTGATGTACCCTGAGTTCCAAATGAATGTTAAATGGTAATGGAACCAGCCATGAATCAATTCACTAGAAATTCCCAAAACTCTAATCATATTCCTTTCTTGAATATGCAGTGACTGCAGGAGAGACAATTGAAACCAGAATTCAAGTCTTCACTGAAACAATCAATCTGGAGTTTAGAAAAAACTTAACAAGTCCAAATGGAATGGACCACCTTCCCTTCCAATGGAATGGTCTTCCTTGGAAGGTTGTGGACCTCCATTGGAGTTTGCTGAGCCAGAGGTTACTTATCAGGGAAGCTTTCACTGTGGATTTTCTGCTTGGTGGGCGGTGGACTCCATAACATTTGGGTCTCCTTCCAACTCTACAATTCATTGATTCTTACTCGCAGAATTTCTGTTATCTATGATGGCTGGAGGTTGATCAGTGTTGTGGTCCAAAAAAAAAAGAGTGAAGTTGCTCTGAATCAACACGCGTCTAGCTGACATTTTGGATGGCTCAGTGCTTCTCCATTTAAAAGAAAAAGTCAATACGGAAAACCAGTGAGTTGAAGAGTTGGGCAAGAGCACTTTTATAAATGTGCAATGTACTCTCAATGGTGGGTCATATAACAGGACAAGCTCTACCACACTCAATGCTAGAGTGAGCCTCGTGGCACAGTGGTTAAACTGCAGTACTGCAACCAGAACTCAGCTCACGAACCAGGGTTCAATCCCAGGTAACCTTCCATCCTTGTAAGGTTGGCAAATTGAGTACCTAGTTTGCAATGTGTAGCCTGCAAAATTAAAATTGCAAACCACTAAGAGTGCTTGAAGTGCTATGGAGAGGTATTTAAACTGCCCAGAATGGCCCTGGCCACCAGATGGGTGATATATAAATCAAATTAATTAATTAATTAAGTAATGAATGAATGAATGAATGAATGAATGAATGAATGAATGAATGAAATTAATTAATTTAAAAAGCAGCACACCTTGCACTACTATGTTCTGACCTGTTTCCTCCAGAAATAGAGGCTTAAATCCGACAGCTAAATCGAAGTAAAATGGAAGCATTTTAGTGATGTAAGCCACTTTGCATCTTTTTAAGGAGAAAAGCGGCATAATGATATTATAAACAAACCAACCAAAAAACAGACCACTGAGTTGGTGGCATTTACAAACTTGCTAAGTATTCTGTATTTAATTCTATGGGTCTCATCTCTAATTCAACCTCTCGATCAGGGGGTCATAAAGACCTTCAAGGCTCGTTGCATATAGTACTGTACCGAAAGGGTTGTCAACGTTATCAAAGAGAACCCCAACAGAGTGAACTGTTCTGTATATGTGTGTGTCAAGCAACTGTTTGTGTTGTGTTTTTGGCAGCCTAAGAGGTATACATGGGTTTTGAACTACCACGGGCATTCGGCGTTGTTGAAGGGAGAACTGCAATGTATAGTTGTGCCTCGTCCTCATGTTGGCTAGAGGGTCCCTAAATGGCTAGGATCCCATTTGGGGTTCATGAAGGAATGAATGGTATGCAGAGGAAAGGATAGAAACAGCAACCTCCAAGAAAAATAATACCACTGAACAAGATGGGTTGTAGCTCAACATATGTTCACAAAGAGAGGTGTGCTCAGTTGAAAACTAGCCATTCCACCAGTTTCAATCCTCTCACCCCTGGCAGGGCTTTCTTGGTGGTGGCATTCCAGTTATGGCATTTCCTTGTATAGGAGGTCCAGTTTCTCTCATACTCTTGTCTTTCAGATACTATTTTTTTTTAAGTGAGCATTAAAAAAATAAGTAAATATTTCATTGATCTTCTGCCACTGCTATTTTTGGATTGCTTTCATTGTATTTGTCCAGACATTTGTCCGTTATGAGTTTAATTGTTTCTTCTTATATGGATTATTGGCCATCCGAAGATCTTAAGAGGAAGGGCATAGCAAGAGCGCCACAACTGTTTTGATACTAATTGCTTCTAGCTCTAAATATTGCCTTTTACCAACAGTATGTAAGCCACCGTGGGTCCTTTTCAAGAAGAAGAAAGGTGGGATAAAAGCATTATAAATCATATGTAATAATAATACAGTAAATTTGAAAACCCAAACTGGGGTCTATTGGTGCATATCAGTGCCAACTTCATCGCTTCCAAATAGACACAGAAGCCCTATACAGAAAAATGTTGTTGTGACAAAATTAATTCCGGAGAGAAAAAGGCAACCTTCTCTCTGTGCTATTTACAGTCATGACAATCTAAAGCTGTCTTTCAGGAAAATGTCCGCAAATGTTCAGTGTCGTATCGGAATAACGGAGTTACATCTATTAATTCTCGAAGGAGCTTTATTGCCGGTGATTTTCATCACAAAGGGGTGCCCATCCCCCCCTTGGAAAAAAAATCCTAAGGCTTGCATTGTCAACCCGATGCATTCTGTGCAGAATTTAGCAGGATTGAAGCAACGCACATTCCTTTCTCCTTTCTACCAATGGCAGCCCCTAAACATACCTTCCCCGAGGGTCAATTTCATGCGAAGAACAAATAATGTGGAAGATAGCAGCCCCATGGTCCTCTCTGGTCTTTGAAAATATGTTTTGTAGAACAAAAACAGTTGGCGTCCTATTCTTTTGGTACCAGAAATGGGTCATTGTTGACGGCATCTACACTATGTAGCTATAGGAGGTTCATACAGCTGCTGGTGGTGTGAATCCATCCTAAGGCATCCTGGGATTTGTAGTTTAATGAAGCTCTTAACGTTCTCTGCTGGAGAGGTTGTAATTCGTTGCCCCAATCTATAGCAAAGAAGTCTAAATACCTCCACCAAGCTATAAATCCTAGCATTGCATAAGATGGAGGAAGCCAGGACAATTGAAGTGGCATGCAACTGCTGTATGGTGTAAGCTAGAGATGGACATGAACAGAGATGGGCAGTTTGTGTCATGTTGGCCAACGGCCACACAGCTGATCTGCTGGCTTCCCTGCCCCACCTTCTCCAGGTGTTATCTCCAAGTGGGCACCCACCAGAGGGGCAGATGTGCCAAGTCAGCTGTGTAACCATCGGCCAAAATGGCACAAACTGCCGAACCTTTGGTTCATGCCCATCTCTAGTGCAAACACAATGTAGGAGTAAGACTAACATGACCTGACGCTTGATCACTTATAAACATATGTATTGCTTCACAGCCGTTCCGATCATCAATCCAACATTGTCAATTATAACTGAGCATAGCTCTCCTAAACTTGTCCGGCTATAGCTCTTCTATCTCAGCTAATTGTGATCTTTTAATTAGAGACAATAGTGGCTGGATCCAGGACTTCCTGCATGTAAACCATGTTCTCTTCCACTGAGCTTCGGCCCCTGCCATATTTCAGAAAACTCAGCTCTCATTTCAATGTCAGCGTCAATGGGATCCACACTGCTGAATGTCATGGCTTTTCCCTGTCACTTCTTTGCTGGTCGCTGAAGCTTTGCCAGCGTATGTGTGGCTATTTCTGTCATATTAATTTGGCAATTATACCAGAAACCCTATGGCCTGAGCCTCAGTTATCCAAATCATCCAATTATCCAAGCTCCATGAGATCCCTTCAGATGGCTCCATGTCACTGTTATCCAGAGGAAATCCTGTCTTCTTCATTGGTGGTTTTGATTGTCAGAATGTCCTACGGCTCGGCTCCATAAATTCAGGCCAGACTCTTTTTTTTTTCATGTCAATGCTGCCGTTTTTGTGGAACAGTTCAAACTCGGAATCTAAACCTGCCAGCTTCAATGTAGAGTAAACCTTTTGGGCCACCAAGAGGATAAGAGAGAGGGAGAAAAAGAAAGGGATCATGAAGTATGAAATATGAAAGCTACAAGAGAAGAAAGGAGCAGAAAAGAGACTGGAAAATATTTTTTTAAAAAAATATATAGATAGAAGGATTTTTCTGGAAACAGCAATTATATAACTGTAACCAAATTCATTAGAATCACCTGTATTTCTATGCCTTAATTAGCCAGTTGGATTTTTACATGGTCTTTTCATCCCTGGCTTGAAGTGAGGTCTCAGATGGTATGGAATATAGCCAGCTTGTTGTAGAAAGAATGATGCAGAGGTCTTTTAAATAACAATCTCCCTTCCAGCAATTTCTTGCCTGAATCTTCTCCTGGAGGGAACCAAGACATAAATGACAGAATGCACTTCTGTTAGCATATCTCCGGTAAACTGGATCTTCATGTCCAATAGTGGAGGCATGAGTAGCCATACCCGGAAACTGAGAATCAAAACTTATTCCCCCTCTTCCAAAACATACCGTATTTTTCCGTGTATAAGATGCCCCCATGTATAAGACACTCCCACTTTTCTAACCCAAAATTAAGAAACCTAAGTGGGGCTTAGCAAGTGTAGGGGGAAAGGGATCAAAGCACTGCAGGATCACTTTGATCCCTGCTTTCCCCTACACTTGTTTTTTCTCTCCACAGCTTACTTCTGTGTATAAGACGACCCTCAATTTTTAGTCTAAAGATTTTAGACAAAAGTAGAGTCTTATACATGGAAAAATATGGTATTTAGTGGATATTTCCCACACAGTCCCATTGAGTGGATTTGGTCTGACTCACTAGTAAATGCACTTTGGGGTCTACCCTGAAGAGAAACAATCTGGCCTAGTGTTGCCAAGCGGAACCCAGTTCAAAGAATGATCCACTTGCGATTCCTGTCATCGTTGATGCTGGGGAACACGTCTTCGCCGTTGCTCTTCGGAAGGAGGGTTGAATTCAACAGGGAAGTGATAAGTGAAATACTAAGATAGGCTGATTTCTGTTGGTAGAAGCATGGACTGATCTCCATCCATAGAAGACAAGTCTCTTCACTGGACCACCCCTCTCAGGTCTGATTTCAGAATGTTACAAGGAAAATTGGCCACTCTTTTCCTCTTTGGTCTCTGTTACAACTCCAAACTCCAACAAAGAAAAAAAATAGACTGGTTAGAAGATAACTGTCTACATGATAGCACACACAGACACACAGACACAGTCACACACAGAGAGAGAGAGAGAGAGGGAGGGAGAGAGAGGGAGAGAGAGAGAGAGAGATGCTTTCTCTAAGTGCTGTCTCAGCAAGACTACAGAGAGGGAGGGAACTGAGGGGAACAAGCAAGTGAGTGTTTTTGGCATTTGACTCATATAATTCCTCCTGGTCCCTCAAGCACAATGGAATCTCCTTGTTTTAAATTTGGGGAGGGGGCCGGGCCGGGGCTAGCTTTGGCTGCTGCCCAAGTGGTGGTTCATTGTGCTGCTTGGGTTGAAGGAGGCGGGTCACACACAGAGAGCTTATTCTTGGCTTAAATGGAATGCACTTGTGTTTTGTGTGTGTGTGCGCGTGCGCGCATGCGCATGTATGTGTTTTAAGTCTCACACACAAAGAAAAGCTGACTTGGTCTTTTAAAAAATTATGAAACAAAACACTCTTCCTTGTGTACAGTGTGCTTCTTAGCTATACACAGTTGATTAAATTTCTAAATATTTACTTTAGTGAGCAGCTCCTTGATTACAACTCCTTAAAGGAAACCAAATGGGGGAAATGGCATGTACCTTATTTTATTTCGCCCTCTCTCCTTTTGCTCTGCTGGAAATTTTGCACTAGACCTAGTACAGTGGTGCCTCATGAGACAATGTTAATTCGTTCCACGAAAATCGCTGTCTTACGAAAACATCGTCTTGCAAAATGAAAAAGCCCATTGAAATGCATTGAAACCGGTTCAATGCGTTCCAATGGGCTGAAAACTCACCATCCAGTGAAGATCCTCCATAGGGGCGGCCATTTTTGCTGCCTGTAAAGTGGGGAATCTGTCCCTAAACACAGCGGGGAGCCATTTTAATTACCCGGTGGCCATTTTGAAACCGCCAATCAACTGTTTAAAAAACCTTGTTTTGCGAAGAATCGGTTCCCGATCATCGCAAAGCGAACAAAACCTATTTAGACCATCGTTTTGCAAGATCCAAGAAAGGCTAGTGCCATCATACTTCAGTGGCTTACATCTCTGGCTGTAGAGTCAGAGGTTGGAAGTTCAGTTCCCCGCTAAGCTTCTTTGACATGGGTTGTGTTCGATGATCCATAGGGTTCCTTCCAGCTCTGCCATTTTATGATGATGATGATGATGATGATGATGATGATGATGATGATGATGATGATGAAGAAGATTGCTAACATTTTGGAACAAGTGTGTAATTCACCCTGGGTTTTCCCGACAGGCTTCTTTTACGAATTTCTATAGGTGCGTAGATGACTAGTCGGGAAAACAGTTCATTAGATATGGTGTGTCTCTTTTAGTCTGTTGCAGAAAGGCTCTTCATATGTTTGGAAAGATTTGACTATATCCCAAAGTCTAGGACTTGACTATTGACCAGACAAATTTCCGGCCTCTCTGTGTTTACAGACTGGATTTTTTCCAGCTAAATGTTCATATTTTTAGGTTTGTCCCAAAACTTAACAGCAGCCCTGTGAGGAAAAAATACTGTTTGCGTACAAACTCTCACTGCATACAGAGCCAGTTCTGGAGGGCGGCGAGAAACAGCCTAAGAAACTGAAGATGAAAATGTAATAATCTCCCGAATGAGTCAGAATTTGCTTAGTAATTGCTGCGATTTGCAGGAAATAACAGTGAATCATTGATTTGCAAAACACACAGTGTGCTGTTCAGAAAACAGAGTACAGCAAGCCGTGCAGATATAACCAACAACTGTATTTATATGTTGACATTTTTTTTAAAAAAAATATCTACTTTTGGCATCTTACTGACTAGACCTGCCCATGGGTTTTCCAGTAACAAGCCCTGGTTCATTTTATATTTTCAATTCATAATTCCAGAATTTATTTGTGCACACACGCAGGGCAGCCCAGGACTCTAGGAACTGCCAGCCTGGTTGTTTGCTTGGAGCAGAAGCCATGCTCCTATTTTTCTGTAATTAAGTTCCCTTAACTTTTTTTTTTCAAACTTTGCATCAACCAACGAACCTCAGTTTCATCAACTGTGTGAGTTCAAGGAATTAACATCTGAGTGTAACGTCAGGAATGCCTGCCACTTTTGAGGATCTAATTTGATGAATGTATGCTATGAAGATATAGAACTGTTACATACCTTCATGATATTAGCCAATTAAATTCAGAGCCCAGGATGAATTTCAAGGCAAGGTGGCTCTCCCAGTCATCTGAACATTATGAGGAGAGATGGGGGTATTCGTATACAGCTAGCCTCTCCTAGCAGTGGGACGAAGGACGAGTCTGTCTGCAAGGCTGCAGATACAAATACGAATGACCTCATCTCTAATTATGAACTAAGAGAATTCTTAGTATTGCAAAACAATGGTCTCACAATTCACTAATATTTATAGGTGTCCCCATATGCAGTATTATATCCCTGCCTGTTCATTATGCTCTATGGGGTGTGTGCGCGATGTACAATATGCTGTGTGGAGACAATGACTTCCTTGACTGCAGCATCTCAATTTTGGAGTGGTTTCCCTTTGGAGGCTCTGTTATCGCCAACATTGATTTCATTGCAACACCAAATTAAACATAGCTGTTCATCAGGCCTTTTGGGGTTTAAGGATCTTGACTTTAAAAGGTTATAGATCCCTTCCAATAGGAATATTTTTAATGGTTCTAAGGGACGTGGTGGTGCTGTGGGCTAAACCGCAGAAGTCTGTGCTGCAGGGGCAGAAGACCAAGCAGTCGTAAGATCGAATCCACATGACAGAGTGAGTGCCCGTCGCTTCTCCCAGCTCCCGCCAACCTAGCGGTTCGAAAGCATGCAAATGCGAGTAGATTAATAGGGACCACCTCGGTGGGAAAGTAACAGCATTCCGTGTCTAAGTCGCACTGGTCATGTGACCACGGATAATTGTCTTTGGACAAAATGCTGGCTCTATGGCTTGGAAACGGGGATGAGCACCACCCCCTAGAGGCGAACACGACTGAACAAAAAAAAATTGTCAAGGGGAACCTTTACCTTTACCTTAATGGTTCTAGCTGGCTTTAAATTACTAAAATTTTATATATATATTGAAATGTTTTAGAGAACAGTTTTATATCTGTTTAACTCTTTGGCCAGAATCCTGTTGGCATTCATTTAATGTTTGCTCAACTTGGCATGGCCGATTGCAGCTAACCAATGAGTTGCTGGTGTGCATCTTGGTTGCATAAGGGGTTGTGTGACCAGGCATGCAACCGTGACAGCATGGAAAATTTCACAAACCTTGTGTGGGATTCTAGGTTTTTTTAAACGGTTTTATTTTTGTCTTGTATGTCATCTTGAAAGGTTGTTATGTAATGGGAGATAGAAATATCTGAAATCTTATGCATAAATATATATTGACCTGTCATCTCTTTTTTTTTTTTAAAGATAGCCATGCTAGAGCGATGTCCTTCCTTATCACTGTCTTCTGTTGCATTTTGTAGACTAACAAAGGGGATGCTCTCGCCAACCGCGTCCAGAACACCCTGGGGAATTACGATGAAATGAAGGACTTGTTGACCAACCATTCCAACCAGAGTCACCTAGTAGGCATCCCAAAGAATTCTGTGCCGCAAACCCCCGTCGATAAAAATGAACAGAACTTTTTCCCAGAGCAAAGGAATCGGATGATCCCACCCCACCAGGTGAGCGGGCACGCCTCGGCTTCGATGCCTCCCCCTAATCCCATCTCATCCAACTCGAGTTTGCTGCATGGTCACCAAAGCAGCAGGAAATCCAGGACTGACTGGTCCCGTAGTGGCCACGGTTCTAACAGTGGCCAGCCGGGTCAATCTGGTAGCCAACAGAGTAGGACGAAACACAACCCTTCCCACGAGCCACCTCAAGGCAGGTACGATGACCTCTACCCCTGTCCAAGTGAACAGCATAAGACTGGAGGAGGTGAAGAAGCGAACACAACACCGTCGTCTTCACACTCAAGGCGGCACAACCACTCAAAGTCAGCGGTGGTGGAACACTCTTACAAAGAGACCGGTCATTCCAAATCTCCTGTCGATCTCGAGTTTCTGAGCCACGGGTCTGGATCGCCACTCCCTTCGACCTCTTTATTGTCAGCAAACAACAGTCTTTCAAGTCAGAACTTTCCTCCAGGACTTCACTGTAAAAGCAGCATGACCCAACAAAAGCCAACAGCTTATGTCCGCCCAATGGATGGGCAGGACCAAGTTCCCAATGATTCGCCTGAACTGAAACCTCCAATAGAAATTGAAGGCATATATGGGAACCAGTCCTTTGGGACTCTGCTGGAAGGAAAGACTGCCGGATCTGTCTTGAAGAACAAATTACCAAAGCTTACCATTCCTCAAGCTAACGAAGTAAGTCTTATTCTTATTCTCTCCACCTCCACTCCAATGTTACAGCATGTTGATCTTTTATGTTAGTTCTTATGCACTGAAATCTAATAGTAAATCAGAACTAGAACAGACGCATTGAATTAGTGGGGATTTAGTAAGTCAACACTTATGTAAGTTCCATTGATTCAATAGGCCTACTGTAGTTGTGACGTGCTTTTGGGTTTCAGTTATAGTATCAGCTTGTTAGTCCAACTGCATTGTTGCATACTCCACCCTAGAGCCCAAAATGAATGTTTTCCTGTGTCGACAGAAGAATGAGGCAAGATCCTGGGTGCAAAAAGAATGACATTGTGTTTTGTTTCAGTGGATGGAACTGTTAAAAAAAATTGACCTCTTTCTGTATTCTTTGTATTTTTTCTAGTATTTCTGTCACCCAGAAGTTGGGAGTAGAGACAGGCGTGAATTTCTGGTTGAGCGGTTTGGTGTGGTTTGTTTCTTGACCAAACAGCTGATCTGTGGTTTAGTGCCATGCCCCCTCCAGTGTCACTCGGCAGTAGCACCTTGAGGAGGTGGGGTGGGGTCTTTCTGCCGGGTGGGCATCTACTGGAGGACGTGGGGTACCAAACCACACATCAGCTGTCCATCTGGGAAACGAACCACACTGAACCTGTGGTTCGTGCCCATATCTAGTGAGGAACGTAGAGCTCTGGAGCTATTGGTAGACTCTTGCCTCCCATCACCACCAGCCAGCATGGGATGTGAAGAGGGATGATGGGATGTGCATTCCAGCTATGTCTAGAAAGCTGCAATTCCCCATCTCTGCTTTAATTCAGCAAATGACCACTCTCTTAAGGTGACTATTATTTTCAAGATAGAGGAATACAAGTGGCCAACTAGCAACTGAAGAGCTTTCAAGCCTACTTAACAGTGAAGAACTAAGGCTTGCAAAACAACCCTTGGAATAAGAATGAAGGTGTCATACGGATCTGTATGTTTCCGTCTATGAACTATTCTAAGGTAGGCATAGGTTTTGGCCCACTAGTTTGCTGTGGTCCCCCCCCTTTTCTTTCCTGGATTGCAGCAAAAACGAAAGACTAAGTTCAAATAGCTAAATAATTGATAAGCTTTGCTGTGGTCATCTGCTATGTAAACGTGCTCTACACTGAATTTGGAAATGTCTGGATCCTGCCTTATTGTTTAAACATAATGGCAAAAAGGCAAGGAGGGTGAGGTTGATCTGGTTGGGTTTGCTTGTTCCTCATTTCTTACAACCTTTTTGGTGTGATTTTCGAGGTATTTGAGTGGCCACCCCACTGTTGGCCTCTCTGTCTGACCTTCGAAGGGTTTGTTTGTATACTTACGATCAATATAATCAGGGCTGGGATTAATAGTAAAGTGTTGTTGGAAGAGTGTATTTCGGCTGGTGTCAAACTGCTTAAGAAGCTTGTGCTGGAAGGGAAATCCACACTAAATACCATTCTCCCTCTTCTGTAAAAACAAGCTTCTTGTCCTCATGGACGTCAGAGGTTAGGGTCAAATTACATGTTACATTTAGAAATATGCAAGAGCTTAAAGAACTCTCAGAGGGCAGGGCGGAGTCGTTCTGTAATTGCTAGTGTTTAAGTCAAGGCTATATTATTCATAAGGCTCACTAGGTGGAAGCTTAGGGTCCCACATTGGGTATGGGGCCCACAGGAGCTGGGGGCCCCTCAAATGTTTTGCTGAGGTGCCCAGGGGCTCCAGTGATTAAAGTCACTATGCACTTTGTACATATCTATCTATCTATCTATCTATCTATCTATCTATCTATCTATCTATCTATCTATCTATCTATCTATCTATCTATCTATCTATCTACTCTCATAAGTATACTATACACACACACACACACACACATTACTTTAGTGCCATATTGCTCACTGGTTCCTTTTTTGTCCATACCTCTATTCCAATATCCAGGGGAGTATGGAACAATTATACCTCCCAAATGTGCTTTCCTGAAGAGGTTCTACTTGTGCAATAAAATATGTGTATTTTTAAAAAATGTGGACAGAATTCATCAGGAGACTCTGAGAATGGACATCGGGCTGTGCGCTAGGGTCTAGTACCTATCTTATCAGGGTCAGGCTGTCGGCTGTAGTGGGTTTAAAGATTGAGTGCTAGAGGGGAGCTGAAATACCTGAAAGCCAAGGGGCCCGGCCATGGGTTAATATGGCCCTGGTTTAAGGGCTAGATTGGGAGTTTGGCCCTTCTTTACTTTCCCTTTTGGTCAAAACCAAAATGTCCCGTGAAAAATAAATGAAGCAAGCTGGGTGGATGGCTCAAGGAGTTTAATACAGAGCTAGAGTCTGCCAGGAGAAAGAGCCAGCCTCTGTAGCCTTGGCCAAGATGCCCAGGATCAACCCCAGAAGGGAACATTAAACCACTTTGAATACTGTATACCATCCTAGAGAACCCTGGAATACATTACCGTAAGTTGGAATCGGGTTGGCAGCATGTGATAATAATTATTATTCATATTACCTAACAGGATTTTCATCCAGAAGCTAGGTTACTCTGGTGTAGAATCTAGCTTTGTCTAGTGTTGTATAAGCCCATCCTTGACATCTGTAATATATATGAAATAAGCGCTGTCACATTAAATTTGCTTTTATTAGATTCTGTGTTAGGCAGTGTGTATCTAGCACATGCCTCCAAGCAGACTGTAATAACGGGAGTCACCCTTCAGATTTCCCCCACAAAATATATATATTCAGAACTGTTATATATATACATATGTATATACACACACACAGCATTGGCACATACTTAGGCTGCTTTGTAGGGAGGGGAAGACAAAAGATCATCCTTCCCCCCCCCTTTCCAAAGTAATTGTTTTGAGCCAATAATTTCTGTGAGTGCTTTAAAGAAGGAATCTCTAGCCATTATTTATTAACATTCCAGCAGGCAACAAAGACTGATGTGTTTTGCAGACGGGCTCAGGACAATTTTCTGGGAACAGCATCTGAAAACCGTAAAAAAAAAAAAACACCTATTTATATCAAGTGGAAGCTGAGGGTTTCTTGCAGATGGTGTTTTATTAGAAAAATGTATTTGTTAATAAACGTAGCTTTGTACAAGATTGCTTTACAGATGTTTCTGTTTATTTTTACCTTGGGTTAAAAATCTGCCGGAGTAGTCTGTTATAATTTGTCACCCGTATTGTTTGGCAAGGAAATAATTGCATGCAAAGAAAATAATGAGGTTGCAAAGGCAAATAAATGTGTTCGCTCTCGCTGACGATTAAAAACAAAACTGAATCCATTAACAAATTTGAATGAAACGATTTCAGGCAGAGGGTGGCGGAAGTTTGGGGAGGCGTTTTGAAACGCGTTCGGTGCGTGGGTTGGTTACCACCTCGAGGCTTAGATCCAAAGAAGTGTGAGTGGAAAGAGGAAAATATATTAGCATTGGTCTGTGAACTCGTTAGTGCTAGAGGAAGACTTGTTCAAGTGTAGAGTTAACAACAGCTTAGTGTTGGTGTGTTGTGAATCTTGTACAACCCACAGAGAGGGATATCTGGGTTGCATTATAGTATGAGAACCATAGTCAATATAACCGTGCTCTGTCTAGTAGATATTCTATTATAAAATGTCTTGGAAGGGCAGAACTTCTCTGGATTTGGATGTCCTTTTATTTTCTCCCACAATCCTGTTCCAGTAAATCAAGGCCTTGTGTCACCAAATAGTATAGGTCAATTAAAGGCAGTAGGTTAGGTTCCCTTGCATAAGTTTAATCAAGCATAAGGAAACTTCATGCTATACCAGTGGCTTTAGAAAAATCAAACATTAGGGTCAAATTACATGTTATATTAAATGCTTGATTAGGCTTTACGTGCTTGTTTTACTTTAAACAACAACTGCACATGGAGTCAGGGCAAGGTAGAAGAAGCTTTTATTGTAGCCATTGTGGAAAGCTCCAGAACAGAGATATGGGTGTAAGATATAGCAAATAGCTGCCCATGCAGACATTCTACTATTTCCTTGGCAGAATCGGTGGGAGTTTTTTCCATGAAAATCCTTGTTCCTCCACAAGCAAGAGGAAAGCAGAGGGAAGAGAAACTTTGGCCCTTTCTAGAAGAGCCCTCGAGCTGCATAATAATAAGATATTCGTTAAATCTGGAGGGAATGGGTGCATCTTTAACATTTGCCAAAACAGAGTGAGAGTGGGTGGATGGATGGATGGATGGATGGATGGATGGATGGATGGATTTCCAAGAGATGAGAGTGCCAGGGGCAGCAAATTCTGCTTCACATCAACAACCTCTGTGGCTCAGGAGGTAGGACAGCGTTGGACAGTATCTCCAATGACAAATTCAACAGAGAAGCCCAATCCAGGCATCGAAAAAAGGGTTAATTTGAAAGAGTGAGCAGGAAAAAGTTCCAGCCCAGCCTTCTGCCTAAGCAGAAACATCGGAAAGGATCCCAGTGCTTGTTATGTTTTCGTTGCATATTGTAAACCACTGAGACCATTTTCCAGGATCCCTAGTAGAGATGGGCACGAACCGAACTACGAACCGGAGAGGGGAAAAAACCCAGTTTGGCTCATGGTTTGGTTCATGCAACCCATTTTGCCAAAACAAAATGAAACAATGAACTTGTTGCCCCTTTGTGCTTCCCTTTGTTTTGGCAAAACAGATGCCCACCTGCCCTTTTCCCAGTGCCCCTGTTGCCCCCCTAGCTGGTTCTGCTGCCTCCTCCTCCACCACCACCACCATCTTCAGAGACAGCAGACTGTCTTCCCTTCCAGGAGCTGGGGCCGATGTCTCTGTGCAGGCGCCTGCCTATCAGCTGGTCAGGGCAATCAGCTCGGGGTCAGGTGCCTGCACACAGGCAGCGCCCGGACTCCTGGAAGACTGTGCTACTGCACTGCCATTATACTATTGGCACCATCTTTGCTGTTATGTAGTGGTAGTGGTAGGTAGCCCCTGCCCAGGCTTTAAACAAAAACTGAACTAGTTTGCAGTTGAGTTTCATGGTTGG